GTTGCAAGAATGAAAGGGTACCATTGGGAAGGTTGCCCATCCTTAGTATGCGGTTGACTGTAGACACTATTGTTTTGGGGTCCGCGCGGATCTCTTGCGCTGGCGCTGAACCCTCGACCTGGCGCGCGGAGCGCGGCAAGGGTGGCGCCGCAAGCGCCGCCAGGGGAGGGGGTAATGGGTCGAGTGCCGACTCGTAAATCGACGCCAAACCCTTCGAAGTAGTATGAATGCTTACGCGTCGAGGCCGTCAGCAAAACGACTCAGGATGAAGGGGTGGCCTTCGGGAGAGCTCTGGCGTCTAGTGCATGCCCGCTCCCCCCTCAGGGCCCCACTCTCCTTCATTCGGCGGCGAGCGAAGGGGGGGAAGAGAGAAGGAGAAGGCCTTCTCAGACGGCTCGTAAGTCCGTAAGTCACCCGGCCTTCTGATAAGTTTTCGGAGCCTTCCCCGAAGACACAAACAAACTCCTGAGAAAGTGCGAAGGCTCCTGAGAAGTCCCGCCGTCTTCCGCGAAGGCCTCCTCCTTCTCGTCTCCCCGCCTCGCTCGCCAGCGATTCGTGGCGAGCAGGCGGGAGAGGGACGGCATGGGGAGAGAGGGGTGAGGGGCAAGCTGCAGTCAATACTGATAGTAAAGATGCGCAATACAGTCGGCCCGTATCATGAGGATGCACGATAAGGATGCAAGGGCCTTGGACGCGCATTTCGAAGCTTTCCGAACGACGTTGGCCAGCGAAGGTGGCCAAGGCTGGGCCCAAGGGGCAAGGATGCAAGGCTAAGGCTACCCGTTGGGACGGCTGCCCATCCTTCCTGTGCGGGTTGACTGCAGCAAAGCTGCGCAACAAGGATGCGAACCCATTCGTTGGACGCCCGTGCTGAAGCTCCTCCGAGCGCGGCTGGGGAAACCAAAAGGTGCCGATACAGCGACTCCCTGGACCTCTCCCAGGGTGCGTTCTGACCAGAATTTCGAGGCGAACTCAGCGGTGGCGACGAGGGCCTGCGACGAGGGCCCGCTGCCCCCCCCCCCGCGCGGCGACTCCTCGCCCGGCGCAGCCCCTCCCCCCCCCCCCCGCGAGGCGGGGCCCGAGGCCCGAGGCGGGCCCCGAAGAGCCCACCGCCGCAGGGCACGAGGAGGCCTCGGCGCCTCGATCGGTGCGGCGCGCGAGGGCCTGCGACGAGGGCCTGCGAAGAGGTATGGGTACCTCTTCCTCCTCGGAGGGCCGGGCCCGGCGCCGCGCTCCCGACCACGGCGACCACGGCGACGCGGCGGCAGCCGAACACCGACCATGAGGGGCCCGTCTTCCACCTCACCACCACAGGTTGGAGGAGGAGGAGGAGGAGGAGGAGGAGGAGGAGGAGGAGGACGAGGAGGAGGAGGAGGAGGAGGAGGACCCCCTTCCCCTCCAACTTCTGCTGGTGGTGGTGGACAACAGGCCCGTCAGACCGCCGGGTCGGCCGCGAAGCCGCGACCGGGCGCTGCAGACCGGCCGCAGCGCAGCCCTAGCAGGGCGTCCGGGCGCCGAGCGGCCACGGCGCGGCGGCCGACGAGGCCGCCAGCGCGGAGGCTCTCGGGAGCCCACGCAGGCAGAAAAGCAGTCTCGGGCGCCTCGAAGTCGGGAGCGGCCGAGGGAGGGGGGGCGGCCAAGAGGCCCCTGCGAGGAAGTCTTTCCTCGGAGCCCGCCCCTGGAGGCACGGGAGACCTCTCGGAGGGCGCGAGGAGGGAGCTTCCGAGCAGTCCTGCCGCCTGCTGGGAGGGCCTTCTCCTCCTCGTCTCCCCCCTCGCTCGCCGCCGATGCGGGGGGGAGGGAGTCGGGAGCGGCCACGAGGGGGGGCGTCCCCGAAGGGGGGGGGGGGGGCGCAACAGCTCGTGGCCAGGGGCCCGTGCGCAGGGTCCCATAACCGTCCATATTTTCAGGGTCGTCGTCTGCTTCCCCACTTTCGGGAGCGGCCAAGAGGGGAGGAGGATGAGGAGGAGGAGGAGGAGGAGGAGGATGGAGGATGGAGGATGGAGGAGGGAAGGGGAGGAGGAGGAGGAGGAGGAGGAGGAG